GAAAAACAGGCTTCTTGCGTAATGGAGATAGGGATTCAGCGGGAGACTCGCTTGATGACGTTAAAAGCGTTGCTTAAGCTATTTTCACTTCTACTTCACGCCAGGTATTCCCGGCACACATCCAGTGCTAAATGCAGCCAGACGAATGTGCTCGGAGTCTGACGATCACGCACTTAGCGTTTCCATGAATCATGGAATACTGATGAGGAGAACGTTGTAACGAAATCATTGGGATTGAGTTTCTTTACTTGCGGTTTTATCAGTATTTAACACTAGAAAGAAGATATAATCTCATCCTCGGTGGAATTCTCTTATACAACTCTGTTAAGTGGTATTTTAAGTGGTATGCCCGGAAAAGTAATAAAATATTAAATTCCTTTTGATTTATTTAAACTACTGTATATTTTTTTTCAATTCATAGCGAATATGAATTAGATGTATTTTGTATTATATTTTTGAAAACACTTTAGAGAAAGTAGCCACAAAAGGGAAGAAATCTAGATATGTATATTAAAAAAGAAATCATCCTGAGAAAAACTGCACATTTTAAATCACCACTGAAGAACTAAAAAATGGTTCAAGATTTATCAGATATTTGCTTCTAAATCTGAAGGGTCGATTTTGCGATTCATCTTCGTTAAGTATTTTTTATTCAGTTCAGTGAACCACTATCTACATATATATGAGATCTTAAGGAGATTTTTCTAAAACCACAAGAAAATATTCTAAGCGCAATATTATTCTCCTCTTCATACTGGAAGAGGAATACTTTCTCGGGAAAAAGTTTTTTTTTACAATATGGGATTATAGGAAGTAGAGCACTTTGAAATTTTTTTTTGTTAGAATATTTTCCTCTTGAAGCCATATATAAGAAGACTTCGTTAATGATACTTTTCTTGGATGAAGTAACAGCGTGGTGACTGTAACATTTGAGTCAGTGCAGCCATAAGCAAATTCCACTAACTGCTGGCACTACTCTCGCCGTTATTGTGATTTCCATTAACATCGATGAGGACTTCCCTCCGCGAACTCGCCGACTTAGATAAACTTCGGAGAATCCTCGATCGACAGGGATCGCACCTGCCTCGCTCGTAAAACCTCCCTTAAGGATCCCAACGGCGTGCGTGAGCGATGAACGGCCGACGACGAAGGGGCGCGACGTCTAAGTACCTTACGTTCGTCGCGCTATTGTCGACCGGTCGGGATTCAATTCAACTGAAGCGAATTCCCGGTATCTCGAAGACTCTTCCCGCCGGCAGGACAAGGTGTTCGTGGATGCAAAGCCGTAAATCTCTCCGCGCTAATTGAAACGATGGCGGACGAAGGAAACGACCGGCGAGGAGCCGAGGACGGCCCAACCCCCGTTTTCTTGACGACGCGATGGTGACGAAGCCTTTTCTCACCTTCCCTCGCGTTCATTTTCCGTATTTTCTTCCTTCTTTTTTCCGTCTTCTCTTGCATTCGGGGGGCTCCGCGGTAATGTGTATATTCATCAGAGTGCCACCAGCAACGCGCGCTTTCACGTCGCCATGAAAAGGACGATAACGCTCGATTGTATGACCGTCGAATAAAGATGACAAGGGAAAAGCGAGAGGAGTGGGGGCGAAGTTGTTGCGAAAAGAAGTCTCCGAAGGGCATTAGTGCATTGTAGTGCCTCGTATGGGAGTCTCCGGGGAAAATATTTTTTTATTTCCTGCGACACGTCTGAAGATCGCGATGCGTCCCTCAGAGACCTTGTGCTTTCATCTCGCCGGTTTCCGGTCTCCATCCAGAAATGAATGCTTCGATCGATCGCCGTCATCAGCGCAACGTGAACAAGACATAGAGTGAGGAGGGACAGAAACGGGCGGAGCGAAGTTGAGGTTCACGCTTTAGCCACGTGAGATGTTTCGGACGGCACTCTCCGAAGGAAAATCCACTCCGCTTTGCTTTTATTTTCGCTCCTTCGAACGCCCTCCACATTCCCCTTCTTTCCCTCTCGCCTCTCGAGTGCCACTATTCATTGGCGGGGGTGCTCTCCAGAGTCACTGAGCACCCTTGCAGCTTCGGACGGAATGCAATCATTTAGAACGCCGTGATTTCGGGGGATGTGAACCCAACGATTTCTCCTCGCGATACTGCCAGGTGGCCACTCTCGAGATGCGATACGATAATTCGAGCTAACCTTCGATTTATAACAGTTATTTCTCTCGCTGTAAGGCAGAAACCGAGTCTAGATAGTCCAAGAGGCATTATATCGATGGAATCATTACTTTGCCAATATAAGAAACATAGAAAGAGCTCGAATATGCATAATTATGTACACAAGGCCTGAGGGTTAATAAGCAGGATGGTTACGTTGCATTATATTTGTATTTTGCAAAATAAAATATAAGGAATCGTTGCGAGTACGAACTCATGTAGAAAGGTTGGTCTCTTATCATGTTTGCACACCAATCACAGCGATTAGTTGTCTGAGAAGTAATTGTTGTAATTTCGAAGTTTTGAAAAATGTAGCATCTTGCCTCGGTCTGCCCTATCTCACGAGATTCTCCGCGTTCTTTTAAGGGTTAGCTTTTGGACGTACAATTACTCGCAGGAAAGTCACGTTTTACGACGCGGCACAAGCCGCCACTTGTCTCGGATCGTAATTATCAGGCCGCGTAACGTATCGTGTCTCATTAAGCCGAGCTGTAAAGTCGGCGCTAAGGAAACATGAAATTCTCGTTGAGACAACTTGTTGCTGTCGTAAAAAAATCATTTTCTTCGGGGCGTAAACGTTTGTTTACGGTTACAGTCTTCAAACTTTAGTGCCGCTCGCTTGAGTCGCGCTCCTTTAGAGCGGTAATTCGCAGCAATTAGTTGCTTCCCCTTCGAGCACCAAGACCCTCGGATGTATCTGTCATAAATATTGGTCACGTATGAAATAACCGATTCATTAACCGTCCAGTGCGCGGCGTATTGCGGGCTACCGAACAATAGCGTCGCTGGCTATTTTGCCCGGTGCTGTTTTTCTTTTCTATTTTCATTTTCCGTTGCTCGCTGCAACAGTGTGACCTAAAGGCATGACGATTTAATTAATGCCATGATATTGGCCGCGTGGCTGCTGCATAATAATTGTAATAACGGTAACATGTCACGATAATTGCAATTAGCGTGATCCAGTCGTGTGCGCGTTTCACTGCTGGTGTGAAATTCGCTATTTGTTGCTAAATTGAGAAACGAAATACGCCACTTCGAGTCCGCGTATCGTTTCCGCGCATGATGTTAATCAAGGTAGAATTGTTTAGAGATGGTAAATAGAAATTTATTGATTAACGAGCGCCTTTCTCAAACATCTCGAAGAAGATCTCGATGAAAATTGATCCTCGTGCGACTGTTGCGTCCGAATTGTGCGGAGATGTTCAAGTTGTCGAGGGAAGCCGCGCTTGACAAGCGCTCACGGTTTCTCTTCACTGGACGGCGAGGTGGCACTCATTTAAAGAGGAACGTGACCATCGACGCGTGCATATACGCGCAACAACAACGCGCTGAAGTCGTGGGGAAACTACGTGGGTATTTATTTACAAGCGCGGTGTATAAGCACGACTGGCTGTTGTAGCATTCGGAGGGACCTCTCGACAACTGCCACTTAAGCGGAACGCCGGAGGGGCGGCTTCCTTCCCTCGTATTCAATTAGCGCCGCGCACGAAATATCAATTCCATCGGCGGGAAGCTCTCATTCAACGTACGTCGAGTACAAATCTATATCAAGGAAGATCTCTCAGGCGTCTTCGCTCAGTAACAGTACTGCCGTTAAATCAAGTTAAAAGTTCGCCGCTTAATTTAATAATACGCCTTAAGTGCGTTGAAAGATGCCGGGGTCTTCGTTAAACTCTGTGTCGGTTGTGTATATATATGTACATACACACACACACACACACACACACATACACGTTTAATTCAATTATTTAATTGGGCACGAATATTAAATTTAATTACGTCCGGAGTTCCATTTTCGGAAAATGTACTTCGTCACCTGATTCCTCGGTTAAGTAACTGGATGGTTGGTGGACGATACGTTCGCGTGTTAAAATGTGAATGGGATCGTTCGTTTATAATTGAGCAGCTTCCGAAATAATATTATTCCAAGTTCGGACTTTAGCACATTAAAATAGCATATGGTAATATTCTCAATTTTATAATTTTGCATCGACTGTTAATAGTCATGATAATTCATAATCTTCACACGCCGCGTTCGTAGAGCGAGATCTCGGGGAAAAAGAAAATATCAGAAACGCGACCGGTGCAAAACAATATTCCTCCGATCGCGCGGTACAAGCGCCATCGCCGAACCACATTTCGACACGCGGATTAAACATTGCGGTTTACTTCATCGGTGGCAACGTTAACCTAATTTTGCACGGGCGTTCGTACGAAAATAAACCTTTAATTGTAGAGCGCTGGAGTGCAGCGCGCTGCACGAAGATGCAAATAAACGCTGCAGCCTTTCAGAGAAATTAACGCTTCATTGATTCGATTTCACTCCGGCACGCAACTTGCAAATTTTCGCGGCGCATGATTGCAGTATTTTTCTTCCTTTTCTTTCTTTCTCCCTCTCTCTCTTTTTCTCTCTCTTTCCATTTTTGCGGATTTTAGACCGCGCCATTTGCATCCGCGACGTGCGAAATAATTCTACACTGGCGATCTTACGGCTTATCGTATTCACGACCTCAAATCCAATTAGAAAGTTACGTTTTGTAAGCCGGTAACGCGTTCCCTGTTTTCTCTCTCTCTCTCTCTCTCTCTCTCTCTCTCTCTCTCTCTCTCTCTCTCTCTCTCTCACACACACACACACACAGACACACACACACACATCCGCTCCTTTAACTTGCATTTGTTTTGCGTTCAGCTTTAGGGCATATCTGCCTCATCCCTGCCTCTCCTCTCTACCCCTTTCTCTTAACGCACCCCTTCCGTGCGTTTCCCACGTATTTACCTTCTACATTAATAATCTCGTGCCTCTCTCGTTTGCGTTGCAGAATATGGACGTAGCCAAGGCCTCCGAGCGTCTTCTCAAGCTGGCGGTGAGTATACATATACACTAACATATACGTGCGCAAATTTATAAGCGCGTACCGGGTGTGTCCGAAATACATCGTCGGGGAATGCCGTAAGCCGATCATTCCTGAAACTTTGTCGTGAGGTCGACATTTTACGGCTCAAAGCTGTTTTTAAGTATTTTTTTACGGACAAAAATTCCATTATACAGATATATTACTATTGAATTTGGCAATATATTTTATATAAAATATCATGTAAAATTATTTCAATATTCAAATTATTTTAATATATACAGTGTGAAATATATTCTCTTCTTTCAAAAGAGAAAGAGAAGTTGTAACATCCAAAAACATACAATCTTTTCTTTAGCGAAATCATCTTAAATATGATTTCAGGAGAATTCTTCTAAAACCAAAAAAGAAATATTCTAAGCACAATAATTTCCTAAAGTTAGAAGAATTTTATTTTTGTCTACAATACAAGTGTTGTTTTTAATAGAAATTTCTTTCAGTCAAAGGACATTCTGCAAAGCAGTCTAGTAAACGTACTTTTTTTGATACAGAAAGAGAAGTTAGAATAATATCTAATAGGTTTAATAATATCTAATATTATCTATAGGTTTCCAAATAATAGTTCACTTCATTAGAAGAGGAATAACACTTTGTAATTAGAGTTCTTGTTTGGGTGTTGCAATATTTTGGTTTTAAGAGAATCCTCTTGAGGCCATGTATAAGAGGATTCCGCTAAGAATAAGATGATATCATTTTGAGTAAATAGTACAGTATATAACGATCTACAAAATGTTGTTCTCCCTTTTCAGTGCTAAGCACTCCTTATGTTCCTCTTCGGTAATTTGAGTTTATTCTTATATATTGATACTGTGTGTTCTCACACACGACCATATCTTATTCGCAAAACAGCATAGGTAGACACTTCCAACTTTCCACGCTAGACTCTCTCTCTTTTTCTCTAGCACAGCTCTTACGGGAAAAGCCCCGAGGCAATATTTGCGAATTCAATCTCTCCCCTTCCACAACAAAACTCGCTTCCCGCTTGAACTTTGCCACTACTACGAGCTCGTTTGACAGCCAGGACGCGGGACAAAGAAAACTCGTATCGAACTACGTGTCGCCGATAAATGCCGCACTTAATGCAACGCGTTGTAAATCCGTTCGGTGCGCACAGGTCTACTAGCTGGCGCCAGATTCAGCTCTTCTCCCCTCACGAGCATTTAGCGAGAGCATATAATCCGAGATAGTTAAGATAGAATTTTCAAGATGGATTACGCGGAATATTCCGCGTTCCGCGATAAAGACTATTTAGAGCGATTTAACTGTCTACGTCGCGTGGATGCTGCAAATTTTATGCGTTCCTCTCCATTTTCCGCCCTCACCATCTCTTGTGCGCGAAATTTTTTATTCGGGAGAATGAAACGGTAAGGGCTGGTTAACTCCGGCCCTTCCAGTTAGATCTCTTTATTTTACGATAAGTTGAATCTGTTGGAAAATAAGGTAAGCTATCCACGGAAACGTGAAATAGAAATGTTGTGTTTCTTCAAGGGGGAGAGCGAGTCTGGAAGGGATACAGAGGACCTTGCAAGAGCTCCGGGCGCTCGCGGAAAGTACGCCGGAATCTATGAATTCCTGATTTAAGTTTCGTCGTGCGTTGTACGGCCGTATTCCCGTGACGCTTCCGGGTGAAATATGCACGCTCGACGATGGAAAAAGGTCGTTTGTCGCCAAGTCCGCAGGGAGATCGATGCACGGCGATATGCCAAAGACGTTGTTTTGATACTTCCGATTCGTCTCTGGTTTTTTTCCTCTTATCCTATAAAAGCAGTTGAAAGAAAGTGGATCTCGAAATGCAGACGGCGAATCTGCTTAAGGGGGTGGGGAGAAGGAGGAGAAGAGTGGGGCACATAATTCTTTCGGGTAATCGGATATAAAATGTTTCAATGGTCTTATTCTTAAGGGTAGTTTCTTTAGGGAGTTTAAAGTCGTTTCTTCTTAGCTGCGTCAATCTTAATAATGTCGGCATTTTCCGTCGTAAACAAAGAATACCCGAAGAATCAGCTTTGCGTCACAGTGATTATTAGGCTCTTTGATTAACTTGATTGAAAAATATACAGAGTGTGATGAAGAGACACCTATAACGTTAGATTTCATCTAGAATATATCTGTTATTGTTTTTTATGTCAGAGAAAAATGCGTAAAAAATAAATTGTGTGGTTGTCAAGGTTGATAAGTAACAGTCCCTTTTAATCACCCGATCTATTCTTTACATTTTCCTCTTAATGTAAAAAGCAACAGAGATATTTTAGAATCTAACTTTAGATGGTTTATTCTGCAGAACAATGGACAGCTGAAGCGCAGATCTAATTAAGAACTACATGGTGGAAAATATTCCATATTTGTGTCGAAATCGACCCGTGTAGAAATTTTTCTATTATTTTCTATCTTTAACACATCCATGTGTTAATTTAACGTATTTGTATTATTTCGATTATTCTGCATTGAGTTTACAAAAATTCATCATTTTCGAATATTAAAATAATAATTTATACATGAATGTACAGATTCGTGGTGACATATTTTATATGTAAAGTGTGCAGAGTAATGTTGTGTTATTTGTTTACACATTTGACTTGAGTTAAATTAACACACAAATTACAGCGAATAAATTGGGATATGTGAGACATGTTAAATTTAACATAACACTTTTTGCAGTGTAAATTAATGGCGGTGTAAATCTTGGCTCTTCGTTTTTTTATTTTCTATTCTTTGCTATCTTTTTTTAATTTATCCTTAATTTCTTATTTATTATTTTAATTTCTTATTTATTATTTTAATTTCTTATTTATTATTTTAATTCCTTATTAAGATCTTAATTTCCCCTTATGTTCAACGACACTTTTTTACTTTTCTTTTTTCTTTCGCCGTTTTGACTTTTTTGCAGTTTAAACCAATATTTGTAGTTGAGAGAATGTACGACTGCTTCGGAGCGCGCTGCACATCTAGAACATGCTGTATATAACTCAAAATAAAAAAAAGGAAGAATCGATATGCGCGAAAGATTCGTTCATGCAAACGCTATAGCGCCCGTCGTATCTTTTTATTCGTGCTCTCCTTGCATCGTACGCCGATACGCTCTGTTACTCTTCGACGTCCAGGCCGGTCCAAGCGTTCCCGCGCGCCCGTTCGTCCGCCGTCGCTCGTTATTCTCTCGTTAGCTCGGATGCTCCGGATCGGAACTAGCCGGCCGTAGTGTTTCGAGCGCCGGACGAAAGACCAGTGAACCGAATTCAATTATATGAATTCGTCCCAAAGCGACTGTCCTCGGGAGCGGGGCCTCGCCGTGCGTCATGCCGCGAACGTCCGGTAGACGTCGATTATTCGCGATTAAAACAGCGACCGACGGTCGTGCATGACCGAGCTTTGTTATGGAACTTTCGCCCTCTCGCCACGTTAATTGAGCCGCGCGGCTGTGCCGTTAATTATCGCCGCGCCCGTCGGCCCGCGTCGCCGACTTTTCCGTCGAGGCGAGCCGACGCACGGCTCAGATCATTTGCAACGCGGCGTCGACGAGTGCTCATTGTCTACGGGAAATTTACATACGATTACAGCGCGAGTGTTGCACGGTGCCATTTCACCAGGCGACATAATCTGATCGTGTCCGTTCGTTAAAGCTGCGTTACCCGTATATAAAAAATAATAAAAACTTTGGAAAAATTAGAGATTAATCTATATTGCATGTAAAATGACCACGGACAGTTGGACATTGATACAGAGCCTGGATCAAAAGCTATTCCACTTTGAATTGCAAACTCAGTAAACATGATTATGTCAAATGACGTTTTAATGATGCGCTGAAGGCTCTTTAAGGTTAATAATGTAACATTAATGCATCATTTGACGTTATCCTGTGTGTATTTTGGGAGTATTTTAAACAACATTGTTACGAACGGGCAGTGCATCTTTAATCCGTTTTGTGTGACTCGATCCGCTATCGCGTCGATATACCACGCGGATCCGAGCGAATGCGACAGAATTAAATGCCAAGCCATGGCATTAGAATAAATTTGACCGCGAGTCAGGAAAAGTTCGCGTATGGAAGGGGAAGATCTTCCCCGGTGATTCTTGAGACTCTTTCGCGCCGGAATAAAGCGTTCCCACGCAGTTGATAAAAGCATTCGTCGTTAAAACCAAGAAGAAATAACTCGATTGTTTTTTAATAATGTACGAAGTGGGAACACTAGCCTCCCCCCCCCCCCCCCCCC